CGGAATTATCATTTCCGCGATTCGTTATAAATACGTTCAACGTGACGCTACATAATCATAACGCTTACACGTTTTACGCTAACTTTCCGTAACCAGAGACCGCGCGATGGTCTTAATTTCGTCCGCACTTTCTCCCTCGCCCCGCGACCATTCCTCGTCCCGGTGTAATTAACGAACGCGCGGTGCCTCGATGCTTTTCAAATTTTTCCGCCCTTCCCTAAGAAACGGATACTCTCGCGCGATTGTACTCGTACGAGAAGAAATTGCAAAGACGCTATGTACCCGAGAGCTTATCACGAACGAAACGACAATGCATCGTGACGCATCGCGACGTAAACATAACGCAATAAGACCTTCCGAGGTTGCTTATTATTTATCTGATTGGTAACGTAAACCATTTCAGCCCCCTCATACGCATATAGGTCGATGTGTAGAGGACGGCGAAAAGTTACGGAATATGAAAATAAAAAATAAAAAGTTCGCGTTGGGTAACAGCGTATATTCAGCGGACTGTGCGTAGCCGTGCGAGGCTATAGGATCTGCGTGGATGGATTTCGAGCCACATAGATGGTGCGAAAGATATCCGAAGGAAAAGTTAAATATTGACTGGCGCGGCTAGGTTTAACCGAAACGTGGAATCTTACGCGTCTATTTTAGTTCCAAGTAAAGGAATAGGCTGTTCGTTCCAACGTGTTTTGCTAGGAACATAAACAATGTACCGAGAATACTGGCGCAATAGAAATCGAATGGCGATAAGTTGCGATGGCACCCGCGGCGCGATTCACGGAAACGTGTGGAAAAGTTGCGGGAAAGAATTGGGTCGTTGGTCGATCGTTGCCGGTCGTTGCCGGTCGTTCCCGATCGTTCTCGGAGAACCGACACTTTTTCCACGACTGGCCGAAACTTTCAACCATGTCCTAGTCCGTGTTAAATACCGGCATACGGTCAATGATCCCTTCCTGCTCCGATTTCACCAATTCCGCAGAAAAGAAAAACAAATGAAGGAACTACGCGCCTCGTTGTTGCGGTACGCGCGTCTACGTCGACCTCTACGTTGCCCGATTGATACGTCGCGGACGCGACCGTTCGTTCGACAACCCTCGGAGAAACTCGTCGGTTGTGTTTCCCTCACGCGAAGACTACCAACGGTGTAACGCGTTCGCTCGCCTTCTACGCCTAATCGAATCGAAAGCTCGCGGTAGCCAAGCTTCCAGGCTAACCTAGTACGTACGAACTGACGCACGATACGCGCGATTCACCCTCTCCAAAGTATACAACGTTAAGCGTAATAGTAATGACGATGATGACGATGATGACGACGACGATGATGATGATGATGATGATGATGATGATGATGATGATGATGAGGAGGAGGAAGATGACGATGATGGTAATAAAGATGATGATCGCTCACCGATCGAGGACGCGCCCGTGACATCTGGATCTATCTGGCTCGCGGAGCTTCCTTCCACTCGACCGTCACTGAGGGACCGTTGATCTTCTCTTCCGGTTCGGTGTTCACTTCAAGTCACCAACTGACAAACCACCCACACACTGCAACGCGCACCGTCCTCGTCGGAAGATTCTACTGCGAGTCGCGATCGTTACGGTGTCGTTCTTCACTCTCCGGTGCATCCAGCAGGGGCGAAAGGGTTCGTGATTCGGTAGCGAGAATCGGAGCGGAAATCGACGGTCGAAATGGTGGCGCGGGCGTGCAACCGGCACCGTGTCCCTTTGCGATGTCACTCGGTGTGTGTACGGTTCGAGCCGTGTATCGTTCTGTTACGTTCCGGCGGTTTAGCCGGCACGTGGTCGCGTACGAAACACTTTCAGCCTGGCCGTCGAGAGAGAGAGAGCCCACGCGTCTCGTGTGCTTGTAATCGCGCGTTCGACTGAGCGGCCGAGTACTCCCGAACTCCCCGGCTCTCGCTAGCTCGCGCTCGTCTCCTTCCCTCTCCCTCGCGCGCACGCCGCCGTCCATTCGCTGGCTCGCTCTACCGCGAGCCTCCCCACCCTTTCCTTGTCGCTCCGAAACGCCGTTTCGTCCATTTCTCTCCAGTATCGGCTTCTCCGTCGCGCCGCTGCTTTCTCCATCCTCCTTCTCCGTTATCATCGCGATTCTCTTTCTCGGACTTTAACATCCTCTCTTTTTTCCCCCTACCGATAAATTCGTTGCACGAGCAAGTTACATTTTCGCGAATATTACACGACCGCGAGGCTGGCTCGTACGCGAGTGTGCCGCCTGCCGATAGTCGCGGCCGATTAAAGATTCCGAGTGTCTCGTGCGCGATGGCTGGTAACCGATCGCGGCATTAAACGCGCCCATTAGCATCGGCCGTTTCCGAGCAACGATCCTGCCCGATTCTCCGTTTACGCTTCGTTTCCATACTTTCCCTGCTTTCTTTCGCGCGACGTGCGCGTATTACGCCACTGTCGGTGCCGCTTAGGCGTTTTCGATTGATCGCCGCATCCTGTTCCAGTGCTTGCCGCCTCGTCCGAGCTCCATCCATCGAGCATCGCGCTTCCACGCGCTTTTCTCCAGGCCTCCGCCTCGCTTCGCCTCGCGTCGCGTCGCGTCGCGTCGCGTCCTCGACTGCGCAGAAGGAAATCCAACGAAACCCCAGAGGCTCGTAATCGTCGAAAGAGAAGCGCGTCTCGTCCATCTTCCTTCTCGACACTCTCATTTTCTTCCAGCTCGCTATCTCGCTACACTGAAACAGAGGATTTATTATCTGTTACGTCGTGTAATGTCTTTTGAGGCAGGTTAGGGTGCTTAACTCGACATTAGCCGTTCAGGTCTACCCCCTACGGCGGCACTCTTCTGCATTCTGCCGGTGAAATCGGTTGACGCGCGATCAACCACCGCGGTAGCAGTAAATCACTAACCGAGCATTAACTGTTGCAAACGGTGGAACGTTTTATTGCGTATTTGCGTCGAACGCGCGACGATTGAGTTGACGCCGGGGCGAGTCGGCGTATGCGTGTACCGACCGAGCTGCCATTCGTCCCAGCCGGCGTTAGAGAAATCTCGAGAAAAGGGCGGACACGCTGTGATATCGCTGCAAGGTCGGATGAAACTTTTAAACCAGTCACACATATGGGCCAGTAGGTCAAGTCGACATTAGTACGCCGCGAAGTAGATCACGTGTGTCGAAATTGTTTCGCGCATCGTTCGTCGATCGGCCATGTACAGAGCACATCCACGTACATACGTACGCACGTACGTACATCGGCGATCGTCGTTCTACGCGCGTTCATTAAAATCCGATAAGGCTTCGTTCCCGATCTCGAGCGCGATTTTTATCGATCGACCGACCGAAGGTCGAACGACGGTCGTCGCTGATACGGAGATCCGAGTTTTCCTCGCGTCGCCATAGATCGTGTTTCGCACCGAATTGGTGCATATAAATTCCCGGCCGAATCGGATCCACGCGATCGATAGCACGTGCAGCCTCTTACGTTTCGTGCACCGGCAGACGTCCGCGATACAAACGAACGAGTTCTCGCGTTTTTCCCTATCTCTCTCTCTCTCTCTCTCTCTCTCTCTCTCTCTCTCTCTCTCTCTCTCTTACTTGAAAACGATAAAGATTGATAGCGGTAATCTACAGATGCGCCATAGTAGAATCGCGAAGCGGTGGGATAATCCCCATAGACGATTCCATCTACCTGAATGTTAAGATTTATGCGTCTAATATGACCGGTATTAATTCATAAATCCGGAGGGTATTACCATCTACGAAACTCGCGATTCATAAATCCCGAGATTTATGCGAGCAATACTAAGCACGAGATGGAAATGCTCGCTCGCCCGTTCGCTCGCGATGTGTGCAGTTAAATTAACCTTGAAGCGATTCAGTTGCTCGTATAAAATTGCGAATCTTTGCTACTCGCTTTTAACGTTGCCCAGAACTGCTGCGCGTTCGATTAAAATTTTTCGGCCGGTCGCGCGCGGCCGCGCTCGTTCCCTAACGGACCAGTATATATTCGAAAAAAAATTTGCAATTCCACCACTGTGTGACATCAGAGGCGAAGATCTTCGACCGGAGGAGGAGATGGAGGTCGTTGCTAGAGGAGGAGGTGGTGGAGAAAGAGAAAGAGGAGGTGGAGGAGGCACACGGGTTCGCTTTTGCCTGAGCGTACCCGTTCGTTCACCCTAGCGGGGGCACCAACCTGGCTTTACTTCAGTTACACGCCGAGAGAGCCGGCGCTGTATATAGGTATATAATACATTCTCGCGTGTACTTACACCTAGTATAGGTAGGTATACGGAGTGTACAGAGAGTGTCCCGGTCGAGCATGATGCGGTTCCACGGCCCTTTACGAGCGAGGCGGGGTACCGACTTGCCCCGTTCTCCAAAGAGAAAGATGGAACACGCTGCGAGAGAAAGGGACAGGGGGCAAGCCCTTGTGTTCGATCGCTTTCGACGAGCCACGGATCGTACTTTGAAAGAAATTTTATACCCTGATATAGACATTACGATAGAGACGAACTTGGACTAAATTTATTCGTCGTTGGAGAAATTCTCGATGATCCTACTTTAATTCCCTCGCTCGATATAGGCGGATGCAGATACGATTAAATGGAAATTTACTTATGGATTATTATTTTCCTCTTTCTCTCTTTTCCTTTTATTCCCCACTTTTTTTTTTTCGATGCTAATTAATTTTTTCGACGATGCGCGATTTGTAATGCTCGGTATGTCGAGGGGTCCTTGACCTAACACGCAGTGACTCCAAAACGCTGACTATTCATAATAATGACGCATATTTACTAGAGAATCGCTAGAATATATCGCTGCAGTTCGTCGTGTTCCCATAACGCGATCACATTTGTGGACTTTACATTCGCATTGTTTCATATGTGAAAAGTCTTTCGATTCTTTATTGATTTCTTGTTATTTTAATTTCATAGCGATAAATAATGATAAATAAAAGAATCTACATTTCATTGATAATCTTTGAAAAGTAAACGTACAATTACGTGATACTTCTGTGTCGGAAAATCTAGGTAGAAATTGAAACTACGATATTTTAATTAAGTATAGCGACCAGTATGTGTGCTGACCATTCTGATGGATACTGGATCTGTCACTGTATCTGTTGGACTGGATGTTTGTTGTTGATGCGAGTAGCTCACTTCCATATCAATTTCGTCTAATTCTTCCTCCTCTTCTTCATGGGTATCGGATTCTTCTTCTTCTTCTCCTTCACCCTCTTCTTCTTCCTCTTCTTCCTCTTCTTCTTCTGACCCTCTGAACTATACAATTTTACAATCATATTATATACAGTAATTTCTATCTTGTCTTCGGTTAATAAAAATGAAATAGTACAGGAAACTAATTTATCGTAACTTTTATTGTCCAAGAAATATTTTCTTAATTTACGCGTTGACTTATTCGACAGTCGGTAATGACGTTATTAAGCAGGAATTAACGATCGCTACATATGGTAAATAATGTTACGATTTTGGAAAATGTTTAAATTTGTTTCTGCGCGAAAGTCCATATAAATTCATTTGATAAGCTACAAAAATTGTAAATTTACGAAACAGGTAACCAACGGTATAAACTCTAATACATCGTATAACGAAATCAAAAGTGAGGTTAACTTACGTCACTGACTGTTTTTCCAATTGGGATATGGTCGTAACCCTGAACTCGAACATGTTCTCTCTAAAAATAAGAGTAGGAATGAAAAATTAATTCAAATCTAATTCGTACAGCATATATAGGTAAAGTTTATCAATTTATGCGTAGCATACATACCCACGCTTGATGTTCTGCTTCAAGTGCAGTTACTTCGCTTTCATCGTCGCAAGGTCTATCAGCATTGAACCACAGAGGATCTGTTGCTCTGGGTTGTAAATTTGGCCACAATGGCATTATCGACATTTTAAAACTCTTCTCACTGTTTGTCGAACGCGTCTGTATTTCACCTGTCAAATTGCACGACGTATACAAACCATTCGCACATGCGCACAAAATATGCACTTGAATTTTGGCGCTTATAATTACAAGTTCAAACGTTGCTATATGTTTAAAGGAAAAATATATTAGTTTGTCTAGTCGATAAGTGTACCTATCATTTCCCGATATTGATATTTTATACAGCTTTTTAAGTATTACTGTATTTTTACTTACTTTATCCGTATAATTTTGTCTTATAACTTCTAAATATTTTAAATCTAAAGTATACGTGGCGCGTACTTACTGCGCCATCTGTTGTGGAACAAGGAATAATGGCGTTACTGTTCTAGAGTCACGTGTTTACCCGCCGAACCTATCAAAGCCGTGTCTTCATCGTGTTACATCTACGGCGATGGATGAAACTGTAAATGTTGTGTTCAGTTTACTAATGGTTCTCTGAAAGATTGGTTGATCGTTCACGCAGAGAAATCTGTGAAAGTGTCTCTGTTTATCTCATTGTAATCGCATTCGAGTCTTCTTACAGAGGGAAAGCATTCTGTACAACATAACCTCGATCGTTTAATAAAGGTGAGTGTAAGAATTATTAATATAATACATGTCAAATTAAAATGATGTAACTAGTATTAATAATGTAATTCTTTAAAGAATGTATAATTTACTGTTCAAATTTATACGTATAATTAACTTTTAATATTACGATAGAAATTAAATACGAATGGCCCATATTGACAGCTACATTCAGATTCTTAACATGCAGTACAATAGTGTCATGTAATCAAACATTCACGCATTATAATGTCTATGGAATTCTGAACACTTTCTAAAAACTGCCCACTGAATGATTTCTCCGTTTCGATTTTTAATATTTAACCTCGTGCTTTCAAAAACAAAGTTTCATTTCGTTCTTTTTTCCTTGAAATTTATTCGAATGTCATATGTCTCGAGTGCACGATCCCAATGAGGTGGAACTGATAAAAAGTGAATGTATTTTTCAATTATCCAGTCTCTATAGGAATGTTGATCAAATTACTGTAATTTATATACTATCTAAATTACGATGCGAATACAAGTATTTTTTCTCGTCGGGTTGAAGGTAATTGATATTTCATTTGAATAAATTTTCGTGCAATATCTCTTACACATCGTGCGTTGGCTAATCGCAATTAACTGTCATCGATCCAATTGAAACCAATATCGTGCACACCCAGTTATCTTCGATTATTTAAGAGAAGAGATTTTTGAAAATCTCTTATTCCACACTTTTCGCTAATCGACGTATTACTACGTCGTAATGAAATAAATCGATAATCGAAATATCTTGTGGGAAAATTATTACGCATATTTCTCTCATGGAATCTCGGTATTTCGATATAAGGATTCCAATGGTGCTTCGTATAATACGACTCAGTGCATTGACGTAGGAGTTCACGAATTATTTTTCTCCTTTACTACTTTCATTTATTTTTAGCATTTTCACCAAGATTTTTGCGATAAACGAAGACAAGGCAAACATATTTTCTTATGTACTTTACTTGTATCACTTCCCTACTGGATTTCCTGTTTTCAACGCTACTCATCCCTGTCGTTGATTTTAATCTGTTGCGGTTTCCGCAATGAAATTGTTAACTGCAAATAATAGTCTATCACGATTATCATAAAATCCCCCTCGAAAACGGCGGGAACTCGTATCACCGCCAATATAATTTAACTAGCCATATTATCTTTCATATCGTATAATTTCCACGCTTTTTTTTCTACCTATCGACACGGTAGTCAAAAACAATAACTTAACCTATTTAAGAATATCGAGATATAAGGAGTAATTATCTGATACATACTAAATATCTTTTTTAAAAGCATAAACGACGCTACTGTCATTACCGTATAAAACGTCATAAAACTTACTGCTTACTAGACTTTTCTTCAGTTGCATAGCTTTACGATCGTGTTTGTAAACATTTCGGTAAATCGTATGTACTACCGTCGAGGATAGACAGATAACGGTAATCTTAATCTACCGATGAAATAACAAGATGGCCAATGTGCAGAGATAAGGAATTATTTCTGAAAAAGTCGGGGTTCCGTTTTATATAGGTTGAAAAGAGTGCGATTATTGCGAAACATATTTCCCTTTGCAGATTACGTATAACCTAGAACATCGTTCGCCTTTTCGTTGGTAAAATTATGCAAATGGCGAACCGTTGTAACGTGTAAACCCCCTCTTGATGAAATTTTTATCTCGTCGACAATGGTAATTGGAATATTTTTCTGCACAGCTTTTTTTTTAAATAAAAAGAGAATATGTAGAAAATATATTTGTTCGTAAATATGATCGTGACTTGGAAATGGACGGTCGTACTACGTTATTCAAGGAAACTGTATATTTATCGCTAAACATCGAAAAATATTCTTTATCGAAGATACGCTATTCGCAATGGTCAGAATAAAATGCATTTTGCTACAAGTTTACGCGGATTATTATTTTCCGTGCAAAAACATATCGCGTTTCCCTTTCAGCAAGCCGTGTAATTTCCACGGAGCATCATATTTCAAAGCAGTCATATTCACCGTACACGATTGTGATTTAATGAAATATATAGTTCTATAATTAGTATCGAATTATTGTTACACCTGCAATAATAAGGCCGGTGTATATTCGTATTTATAATTTTTCATGTAAACGTATCTTATTTATCGTAAAAGAATACGTGCCAGTTTCTTAAATACAGCTGTTTCTTTGACCTCTCACCTTCGTGTGTACAAGATTTGTCTGTATATTTTTGTTAAAAAACACGTAATAAAGAGTACGATAAAAATTTAAATTCGCGATATTGTATCCTCTTTTTTATGAGGGAGGTGAGGTGCTATAATCAAACTGTGATTAATGTATGCGAATACGTTCGTGGAAAATTTTGAAATTGTTTCATTTTAATTTGCAATTTTGGAAGAACAATATGGTGGATGCTACCACGAGTCTCGCGTCCGTTGCAGCCATTAGGATAGTATGAATCTAGAAAGGAATGTTGGCTATTAGATTTACGTAGACCGCTGAAACTATCTCGAAGAAATCTGCTTTAGAAAGTACGCTGACTCAGATTTTTTCCTTTCTTCCATTCGGTCTCTTTGTTCGTGTTACCCGATTGCCAGTCATGAACTCGTTTCTTCTTGTACTTATTTCTGTTCCAAACTCGTTCACGGCTAGCCTGGTAGACTGCCGAAGAGGAACGAATGATTTTGCAAAGATCACGGTATTAATTAAGAAAAAGACACTATTGGTCGGCTAAAAAATTTAATCGTTCATGAACGAACGGACATGGTTACGACTCTTCCGAAGCTTCGTCAAATTACTTTCAATCGGATGATTACATAATACTAATTCTTTGACAAAGATAATTTGACTAATTCCATGGCGAATTAAAAAAATGTTGACGGTATTATTTCTCCTTTTCTTTTCTGCTTTTTCCGTTTTCTTTTATTGAAATTATCGGATTCGATGTTTAATTGTTACGTAATTGCAGCTGAATCGATGTAAATATCGGATTTAGCACCCCAAGTGTATCGATTGCATCGCACAATGCGGCAGATATTTCCACAGCAAAGTCAACGAAACGAGCATTCCAGCAACAGGTGTCTTTTACCGCGAAGAATTTTGTTCCAGCTTTGAATCAGTTCATGCTGATAAAACAGTTTATTTACCGTTAAAATTTTGCCATTTTACTCTTTATTGTATCTACGGTACTACGTCTCCAACACCTCCACTTCTATCGGTTTATTACCGCGTCTGGTTCGATAGTTGCTTGTAGTGGTTATACGGTATATGCATGAACTGTAGAAATTGCGAGGACCCTGGCTTCTGTTCTCGATAATGGTTGCTTCGACCTCTGTACGAATAATATGTTACCTTCTCAAATTAACAGTAAACAAAAATGACGATTGTTCTCCGTTATAGTAGTTTTTTTTGTAACGCGGAAAAAGTAATAATTATTTCATGACGTGAATGCAATTACGGCTTTCTAGTATTAACGTGTTTACGTTCTGAAGATATCGCACGAATTTGTGGAAGGAAATAACTTGGAACCAAATATTGACAATTTTAAGACGGTTTCGAGACATCCGATTTTTTTATTGCTCTTTAATCAGTTTCTTCTGTTAAATTTTCTCAAGTTTGAAAAAATTGCATTGCCCATTTACAGATGTCTCATAATCATATGGCACATATGATGAATGTATCGAGCGAGCATACAGCTCACGATACTCACGCATCTTATCAAGCTATGGATCATTCAAATATGCATCACAGTTCTATGGATCATGTTAGTGAAAATCATGGGAGTATGGAAACGAATGTCAATCTGCACGGGTTGCATGGTATGTCGGTATGTATCATTCACGTATAAAGCTATGGAACTATTTATAATATATCAATTGCATTTGCAGATGACATTCCACGGAGGATATTCTGAAAATGTATTATTCGAATCGTGGAAAATCTCATCGATTAGTGGTCTTATAGGATCGATGATCGGTATTATGATCATGGCCGCACTTTACGAAGGATTGAAGTATTACCGAGAATACCTCTTTTGGAAAATGTACAATTCCCTTCAATATAGAAGCGTCACGATGCCACAAGAAAAAAACGTTGTAGCCGAGGATAACAGAGTGGTCCAGTAAGTTTTGGTGCCTTTAAAAACATAGTTTAATACCTTGCGGTACTTTTACGCTTGAATACACAAAGAGTTACTATCCTGTTTGATTTTATTTTTTTAGTATGGTCGGAGAAGTAATTCACAAACAGCCGTAAGTAAATGAGAAACGAATTTCTTGGTTTGATATTTCTTCTTAGTTTTTGAAATTGCTTCTCTGTAAAAGCACATTTCTTTTCTTTTTTTTTTATCTGTGCCTATTTTTTGGAGGGGTTTATAACATAAGCAGTTATAATATTCTTGTGATATTCAGTCGCAATTTCATTTAATCCCTTGTTAAATATTGCTTAGCATGATAAATTAATAGTATAATGTATACATTTTTTGCATCCAAAGATTAATCCATTTCATGTGAATTTGTGCAGGCCCACAATGTTGTCATGGATGCACACGTTTCAAACATTCTTACACATTGTGCAAATTGTGCTCTCATATTTCCTTATGCTGATCTTCATGACTTACAATGTCTGGTTATGTTTTGCTGTAGTATTTGGTGCAGCAATTGGTTATTTTTTATTTGGGTGGAAGAAATCTGTTATTGTGGATGTTACAGAACATTGTCATTAGTTCTTTATGTATTTAAAATACATTTTGTTTTTACAACAAAAATGTACATCAATGTACATTGCCGAAAAGTTCATTCTGATCGGAAAAACTTTGAAATAATTACATGTAATATATGTGTGCAGGAAATATAATTATTCTAAATTCGTATTTATAGAAATATATAAAGAAAATGTTTTCAGTTTAAATTTATTCTTATGCATAGTTATTTTATGCATACAGAATGTAATTTTCAGTTGCTCATTAAAAAAGATAGTATGGCTTAATTATTATTGAATAAAAAATATCTATAAAATGCAAATTTGTATACAAAAATACTGGAAGGTTAAATCTTTGATCTGGATAACCATAACGCACTTAATTTGTAAATATTGTTAAAAAGTTTAAATAAGAAAAATATCATAAGATGCACGCATACTTTTCTCCAAACTTTTCTACAGTTCAGTTTTGTATTGTAATATATTTTATAAATATTTACTCCTTGATCGACCTGAATGTTTGAAAAAAAGTGTGCAGTAACGTCTTCAACATTGCATACATGATGTATTGTTATAATATAACATTATCAACGATTGTATTATTAAGAATTAATCTATGAACTACTGTTATCTGTAAAATATAACAAAGTATCACATGAAATATAAGAAAATCACTTTACCAATATATTTTTCCATTTTTAAACAAGCACAAAGTTCCTTTGTTTTTTCTTTTTTTTCTTTTTATTTCCGTTGTAAGATCAACTTTCAAAATTATAAAATTTATAAAATAAAGAACGTAAACTAATATCTAAAATATACCATAAAAATCTTGGCTGCCACTTGATAAATATAAAATAAATAGAGCATCATACAATAAATGTAATATATATTGTACAAATATCTTTTTAGAATTATCAATGAGACTCGTATAGTACTGATGACATAAAACATATTCGATCAATACAGAAATGATCTTGTATATTTTAACAATTGGTGAGACATTTTCATCTTGATATGATTAAATTTTATATATAGTTTGCATCTGCATCAACAGATTGTTGAATAAGAAGCCAAAAATTGATATATCCCACATGTAACTATACAAAAAGCACCAGCATGCATGTGACATTTATAATTAATAAGCCTTGTCATTGAAAATAATCTTTAAATTGCAGTAATGTTATATATTATTTATTTTCTGTATGTAAAGCATTACTAAAGTGTTAGGTAGCTTTTAAGTAAGTTACAGTGCTTTAGAAATGCGTTCATACATTTTATACGTACAAGGTTGTACAAAAAGCTTTATTTGATGTGTTTATAATACTATTCATTTTGTAGGAAAATCTTTAAACATCGACTGCAGGGCATTCCAAGAGCAGCAGAGTATGTTTTATAGTGTAGATATTTCAAAATCATATATATGTGTATATAAAGATGATTCAGAAGATTTTGTGATAAATATATATTACTACCACTGCCCTTAGTTTGTGCTGCGAAGATAAGGCAAATTTAGATTACAAAGCTAAATTACATTTTATATCTATCCCTTATTTATAAAGCAGTTGATGATCATGGTTATTACTATTATTATTTTATCACAAGCCAATGGTGTATGAAATACTTAAAATACTGTCTGTAGCTCGCGAGCTGCACAAAGCGTGATACGAGTAGGACGTTCAATTTGACCTTACAGTTTACAGTTGTATTCTGGAAATATTAACCACAAAGCATTATTTTTTTCCGCGTAAATATAACTTCGATTTGCATATTTTAACGAAACTGAAAAATATTTGTAAAAACAAACAAAATTATATAAGTTTAATTTATAAATATGTACGAACATGTTCATTGGCAACAGAAGAATGTATATTATTAAAAATATAATAGACAATATATAAACAACTACTTTTAGCAGTAAAAGTCACCTTAATATGAGGAAAGTATTGCAGACAGGCAAGAAATCTCTTCAAATAATTTTGTTAGACCTAGAAGAAAAAGTATGTTACCAGAAAAATTGTCACTACATAATGATACAAATATTTCTGTCTTCATATGTAATTATGTGTTTGATGTGTTGCCATTGGTCTTGACTTAATTTTAAGGGATTAAGTTCAAATTGCTCAAACAGAAATAAGTGTTGTTTAGGTCAAAGAAAACAATAAAATTCTTATACAATGTAATGTCCTTATATGTCCTAAATACATTGATCATCATTTATAAGTGTTGATACAATTTGCAATAAAGTATACTCTTTCCAGATATCAACAAATCTTATGTGTCCATCCCAAGACTGCCAGTATGCATCACAAAAATTATTTATTTACCTTCTTGTTCATTTTTATTAGATCATGACTGTGAATCTTGAGAAATATGTTTCATGCATTATTTTGTGAAAACAAAAAATATTTTAAATCTTGTATCTGTAAACCTACTCAGCACCAGACACAGGCATACAACAACTTGAACGATGAGGAGATTGTTGTTTAGAAAGATCAACAGTATCTTCTACTAATGGTCTTTCTAATCTAGCTTCAAGTTGTGCCCAAGCAGCAACAGCTGCACCAAATGCTGCTTCAACATTAGTTGCATCCTTTGCAGATGTTTCTACTAATGGAGGATCTCCATTTTTTGCACACCAAGCTTGAGCTTCTTCTGTTGAAACTTGCTTCTCAGAATCTGGAACATCCACCTATAAAAATTATTTTTATGAACGTTATCAACATCACTTTTGCTTTATTCATGGGTATTTCTACTTACTTTATTTCCAACAATTATAAATGGGAAAGTTGATCCTTCTTGAACATCGGCGTAATAAAGGAATTCAGATCTCCAAAGTGCTAAATTTTTAAAACTTGTTATATCATCCACAGCATAAGTTAAAAGGCAAATATCAGAGCCTCTATAAAATGGAGTTCTTAAAGTCTTGAATCTTTCTTGTCCAGCTGTATCCCATATTTGTAATGTATATGCTTCTCCATTAATTTCAATATCTTTATTTAAAAATTCTACACCAATAGTATGAAAACTATGTTCATCAAAATGATTTGATACAAATCTATTCATAAGACAAGATTTGCCAACACCACCATCACCAAGAATCACCACTTTTAAGAGTGTAGATCTTTGGGAATTACGATTTTGTAGATTACCACCTCTAAGTGCACCTACTATAGCTGAATTGTTTGCTGACATCTTTTAATTTTTATCTTTTTAGAATAATAAAGAAATTATATGTTCAAAAATATGATATATATTTATATTCTTCACATATCACTATTTTCGATGACAAATAATTAAATTCTTCCTTCGCTAAACATCGAACGTATTAGAGATCCCTCGTCAATATAGGAATCAGCTGATTCTGATACTAAATAAGTCAATCCACTTTTCTTATATTAGATACATTTTAAGCCAACAATATATGCTCACATAGGATTTGTAACTTTATATAATTCGTACAGTAAACAATTGTATTATTTAAAACACTTTAATATTGCAATTTTTGTTTTATGATAAAGCATAACCTTTTCATTTTATAGCAGGATTTTAACGTCAATTTAAATAGAATTCATACTATTTCGACGAATGAAATTATAATTTTCAATTTCACAGAAGCCATGTACTTTATCTTCTTTGATTTTAACTTAATTATTCGAGTGAAGTTGCAATACCTTGAGAAGATGCCCTTTGGTATTGAATCATAGCCATCACTAAGAAAAATTGCAATTTTCTCAAACAAATATATATCGTATGTTCACTCCAAAACATTTGACAATGATAGGGATCACGAACGATCTTTTAACGTTTTCGAACAACTAAAATATATCACTGGTCCTGAACATTTTTGTTGGGCGCAAAGTATTTGACACTTTGCAGACGACAAAAGAAACGCCCATGTTGGATGTTAAACATACAGGACGAATATGGCTACCAGAAATTATAAATAATGTTAATCCTTTTTGTATTAGAGAACACCATACCATATGCACCCATCAGCAATAATTTATGTAAGAACTAATAATGAATAAAATTATATGTGATTTATTATAATTTATTCGAAATATTAATATTCATATATGTATATATATATATATATATATATAGTATGCATACAAAGTTGCGCATATGTAAGAATTATATATAAAATCATACATATATCTGTACATGTGTATATAATTTTAATTTTATTAATATATACATATATGTATGATAATTAAAATATTTTTGAACTATAAACTATAATATTACAATTACACAATTTTCTAATATATTTAAATACAAACTAAACTAACAAAAATTGTTTTAACAATTGCAATTCAATGCAATAAATGATAATATAATTTCATAATTCGTTTCATTGATATTGACCTGTGTTATTAAAATAAAAAGAACAGGATTGCTGCAATCTATTATTGTAATATTACTATACGTAATTGTCTACTTTTGTGCAATTACCCAGCTATCTCTATGTAATTTGAATTGCATTTACCATACAACCAGAAGGTGGTGCTACAGTGTTTCAAAGATTCTTTTTTGCACACTTAGATGTCGTATCGGAATGACAATATGAGGTTGTGTTTTAGTCGAAGTTGGGTTAATAATCACAGTGTTAAAAGGGACTAAAAAAACATTACCGTAAAAATGATTACTTTCATATTTCTTAAATAATTTTCGTAATCAAATTCAACATCGAAGATTTTTTAAATTAAGAAAGATTCGAAATTGTAAGTACACGTATATTGCTTTTTTGTAATATTAAAATTAATATTACAATTACAATAAATAATTAGAACACGTGTATTTTTTATTTATTTAATGTAACAAACATTTTAGGTAATATATATTGTAGAAAATGGCAAATCCTCCGTCAAATGTTGGTCAATCCTATTTTTGGGGTTCGGGAGTTTCTCAACCACAAAATATGGGATATTACTCCGTACCACCTCCGAATTTTCCACCTCCAAATTTTAGACAGCCACCACCATCTTACAATATGCCTGTGTCTACGTTACCTGAAAATAAAACTGGAAATTTTGTCCCATCATATCATTCCATGGGAACATGTTACCAAAATGAAGTATCAAATTCTTATCATGATGTTTCTTACCAAAACCAAACAGAACTACAATGCAACAATCAGAATTATGGGTTATCAAATTATTCTCAATCAGTAACTGGAAATTTTAACACAAATTGGGATGACAGAAACATGTATCATAATAATGATAATACAGAGTGGAAATCTAATAATTATTCATCTGATTGGAGTAAATCACAAAGTAACAAAGATTCTTGGTATGAAACAAACAAAATGCAAGAAGATGATAGAAAATCTATGTATACAAAATATAATAACTCTCCAAAGAATAGAAGATTTGAATGGAGATACAGAGATAAAGAACCCTCTAATAGTCATTCAGTTAGCAAAAAACGTTCTAGAAGTCCTGACAGTAGATCAAGGGAAAGTAGATCAAATAGATCACCATATAGATCAAGACATGATTCTCAAAGAGATAGATATTCAAAGTATCTTAAAAATAGATCGACTTCTAGAGAACGTTTGCACTCTGAAGAAGACTCTGATAGAAGGTCACTGTACAGAAGGAATAATTCACATACATCACGCTCCCAGAGATCGTATACAAGTTACAGAAGTAGGAAGAGGTCAAGGTCTCAGGAATCTTATTCATCTAGAAATACTAGTCCAAACAACAATCTTCCCATTACCAGGGATCGAACTGAAAGAGAGTTACTTTTAGAAAAATATAGGTACTATACATATTTTAAAATAATGTAAATTACATATGTATATATGATTGTAATTTCTTTATTTTATACTTTTAGGCAAGATTATTGTGCAACAAGCAAAGATATGGAAAGAAAAATGGATGAATTGTCTGCAATGGGACCAGAAGGTATCATGGAAAATGCAAGAAAAGTATGGACACGTACTGCACCAGCAGATTTGTATTATTCTAGAGATGACAATAATCCAAAAATAATGGAGGGAACAATGAAATTACACGAGTTATGTGAATTATTCAAGAAAGTATTATTAAATAGAGCTGCAGCTGCAAGAGCTTTGCAGGTACACTTCCTTTACAGTAATATAATAGAAAATTTCTATACATTTCAAAAGATCTGTCATTTTTTACTATGTAGTCTCCTTATGAACCACCTCCAAGAAAAACTAGAGCTCGTTTATGTAGACACAAGTCTGAAGCTTGTAGTAGCTCTTCTGATAGTGATAGTTCAATGGATGAAGATGATAGAACAATGGAGGAATTAATGGCAAAGAAACAACATCCACAAAGATTACACCCTGAAATGTGGTTTAATGATCCTGGAGAAGTAAGTATTTTCTTCTTAGATATATAGTAATGCTGTATAAACAATATTGAAAAAATTCTCAATATTACAGATGAATGATGGACCATTATGTAGGTGTAGTGCAAAATCAAGGAGATCTGGTATTAGGCACGGAATTTATGCTGGAGAGGGTGCCATAAACAAATGTGATTTAAATTCGAATAATGCTGATAAATTATATCATTATCGAATAACAATTAGTCCGCCAACAAACTTTCTTACTAAAACACCGACAATTATTAAGCACGACGAACATGAATTTATATTTGAAGGATTTTCTATGCTTTCACATTTTCCTCTTGTGAAATTGCCAACTTGTAAAGTAATCAGATTCAATATCGAATATACAATTCTTTACATAGATGAAAAGTTACCGGAAAATTTTATTATTCGAGAATTAGATTTTTTTCGTAAGTTTTGTTTCGCTATATCCAAGTTTATTGTTTCATGTATTTTATACCTATAAAAAAATGTTATTTTCAGAAACTTATTTATTTAAGGAAATATTAGAACTTATAGACTTTGATTTACATGCCGCGCAAAATAAATCTGGCTGCGGACAATTTCATTTTATGCCAAGATTTGTACGTGATTTAGCTGACAATGGACAGGAAATATTGTCCATGAATGAGGTTTTAAATTATTTAATAAAAAGTAGTAAATTGTTAATAGATCCAGATGATCTACCTAGGTTGGTGGAAATGCCGCAATGTAGGTGGCAAAATTTTGCCGACGAGGTAAAGGGTATGATTGTTACATATCCTGGAAAAAAACCATGCAGTGTTCGTGTAGATCAATTGGATAGAAATCAAACTGATCAACCGCCTGGGATAATTGTATATCCCGAAATTGTACATTTCGGAATTAGGCCACCGCAACTTAGTTATGCAGGAAACGCAGAGTAAGTATCTTTTACCGTAAAATTATTTCTCCGATAAAAACACAATATCTGTATTATTTTAATTTATTTCAGTTACCAAAAAGCATGGAGAGATTATGTAAAATTTCGTCACTTATTAGCTAACATGCCAAAACCATCATTCGAAGATAAAAGAAAATTAGAAGCAAAAGAGAATAAACTTCAGGAATTAAGAACTCAAAGCAAAATGAAACGTGATGTTACCGTGGATGTTAGTTCTGAAGGCTTTTATAGAACTGGAATAATGTGTGATATAGTACAACATGCTATGTTAATACCAGTACTTGTTTGTCACTTAAGATTTCATAAATCCTTAGATAATTTAGAGCGTACATTAGGCTATGAATTTAAAAATAGATATCTTCTTCAATTAGCGCTAACACATCCTAGTTACCGTGAAAATTTTGGAACAAATCCAGATCACGCAAGAAATTCATTAACTAATTGTGGAATAAGGCAACCTGAATATGGTGATCGTCGAATACATTATATGAATACCCGGAAACGCGGTATTAATACATTAATTAATATAATGTCAAGATTTGGTGCGAGAACCGAAACAGAATCTTCGATAGCACATAATGAAAGATTGGAATTCTTAGGAGATGCTGTAGTTGAGTTTCTTACATCAATTCATTTATTTCATATGTTTCCTGATTTGGAAGAAGGTGGTTTAGCTACTTACAGGGCAGCAATTGTTCAAAATCAACACCTCGCTGTATTAGCGAAAAAGTTAAATTTAGAAGAATATATGCTGTATGCACACGGGAGTGATCTTTGCCATGATTTAGAATTGCGTCATGCAATGGCAAATTGTTTTGAAGCGTTAATGGGTTCATTATTTCTTGATGGAGGTATTGAGGTTGCCGATAGAGTTTTTGGTGAAACACTATTTAAAGATGAACAAGATCTTGCCAAAGTTTGGGTAAATTATCCAAAACATCCATTGCAAGAACAAGAACCAACAGGTGACAGGCAATGGATACCAAGTTTTGAGTTATTACAAGTAAGTAAATGTATGGAGTATTTTGTATTCTATGCATTGATAATATATTCTATCCTATTTCTAGAAATTAACGAAATTTGAAGAATCTATTGGTATAGAGTTTACTCATATTCGTCTCTTGGCCAGAGCATTTACCGACCGTAGTATAGGATACACCAATTTAACATTAGGTTCTAATCAACGTTTAGAATTTTTAGGAGATACTGTATTACAGCTTATAGTTTCTGAATATTTGTACAAATATTTTCCAGAACACCATGAAGGACATTTATCTGTAAGTAGCATTGTAATCTTATTTACAGAAAATAGCATTTTAATCCCATCCATATTTTGCAGTTATTACGAAGTTCCCTTGTAAATAATAAAACTCAAGCTGTTGTTTGTGATGATTTGGGGATGACTCAGTATGCACTTTATGGCAATCCAAAAGCTGAATTGAAAACGAAGGATAGAGCAGATTTATTGGAAGCATTTTTGGGAGCTCTTTATGTTGATAAGGGCTTGGAATATTGCCGTGTTTTTTGTGATGTGTGTTTTTTCCCACGTTTACAGGATTTCATTATGAATCAAGATTGGAATGATCCAAAAAGTAAATTGCAACAATGTTGTTTAACGCTAAGAACGATGGATGGTGGAGAACCTGATATTCCTGTATACAAGTAAGTTTAAATTATATAGGTTTAAGCGTTTTTAATATGTTGCTATAAAGAAATTGATCAAATTTTTTCTTCAGAGTGATTGAATGTAAAGGACCAACAAATACAAGAGTTTATACCGTTGCTGTATACTTCCAAGGAAAACGATTAGCGAAAGCGTCAGGTCATAGTATTCAAGAAGCAGAAATGAATTCAGCAAAAGAAGCTTTAGAAAAATCTCAAGGTATCAAATTTAATGTTTAAAATACTATTCGAAAATATAATTTTTACTTTATTTTATTTATTTTTTTACAGACTTATTCCCACAATTGGATCATCAAAAACGTGTAATAGCAAAAAGTATGAAAATGCAACAGTGGCCAAATAAACTTAAAACAAGAGGAAGATCTATGAAACCTATAGATAAGCATGACGATTCTGATTCCAGTCAACGGTCTAAAAGAAGCCTTAGCGAAGCGTAACTAATAATAAAAATTAATTTGAACAATTAGAGTTTTAAATCTTATTTTTTATTAAATGTATAATTGATACTGTAATAATGAGTATAATAAGTCTTTACCTATTATAGTGAAATAAATGGTATTATAATATAACATGTAATAAATATATTTATTATATTTTACATAATTGTTCAGTAGTAAGCATTTCTATAGGGGCATATTTAGGTTTTACCAATGCAGGACTTTTTGGATCCAATATATTTTCATTCTGATCTATGACATGTTTACACATTTCCATATTCCTTATAATTTCTTCTAAAGTCCAATATTTCTGCAGTAATGCATGCTTTATGTGAAATAAACCATCTTGTATACAAAGTATTTGCATACAAGTAGCAGTAGTACGAAGTTGCATTCCTAGGTCATGAATTATGGCTTTCAGATAATTATCATATTCATTTGTGCAAACAATTTCTGTAAAATTATAAAGTTAAAATACAGAATATCATTTTTTACTAATCCCTTTATTGGTTCAAGAACGTATTTTGTGAAATAAATTTACCTAATGTAAATTCTGGAGGTGAAAAGTGTATGCATTTAATTGTATATATGATGGGAATATTTGAATTTGTTGGTCTAATTGGGCCTTGAACTGCTAATTCGTATGCAGCTTGACTTTGAATATCTACACCACAGTGTCTGTAAACATATAAAAATACAATAATGTTATATCATATGTGGTTGCTTCTATGTTAATTTCAACATACTCAAACATTTTCCTTTGATGAGAAGATTGCATTGAACTACATAATTTGTCGATATGACCACGTCTTACATGTGCATATGTAGACTTTTCTACAATTTTTCCATTATGAAAATAATTATCTGTTGCTTGTCCTAATAATCCTTTTACTTTATAAAACCTTATACTCTTGGATTCTCGTAATTTATGTATAATTGGAATACCCTTATTAATTCCACAAACTATAACACCAGATACATCTGAATACAAAATTTTTGTAACTGCTAATTTAAAATCATTTGGCTGGTAACGAGGTCCTACTACTAAGGGGTAATCTGCCAAACTAGTTTGAACAGAAACTTTCATATTTTTATTTGTTTCTCCATCTATAGTTACATATTTTTTTGGTGGACGCACATGCATGTTATTCAGATCTAGAAGTAGCAAATTCTATGATTATATTACATCAATAAAGAAGATTATTATTTATTACAAATAAATTATAACCTTCACATAAGTTATTGATTATTGTTTGTCTCACATGATGGAACCATATTTCAACAGGTTTATAAACAATAAATATACCATTTAATGCCTTGTATACCTGTCTTGCGTTAGTTACATATTTATATGGTACGTTTGCTGACATAGTAAATGTTTTACGGTTATAAAAACGTTTAATTCTTATAAAATGTTAAGCTCCTATGTACATTAATATATAAATACTAAATCACACTTATCAATTTTAACTATGTTTGCTTCATGTTATTAACGTATATTGAAAGTATAAACAAATTATTGTATAATACATTATACCGTAGACGATAGGACACAGTATCGTGTGGTGTACGACAAAGAATACACGTGGACGGTGGCGTCCTGATATATGAATACGCATGCGTCGAATAGAAAGCCGTGGAGGGGTAATTTTCCCACTACTACTCTTATTCTCGAAAGGTCGTCGTAAAAGTTCTTGCTTGGCATCACTGGTTGTGAGTTTGAAGAATTTTGAAATTGAAGCGTTCAATACCCAGCGTATTATTTTTAACGGTATTTATTAAAAATTACATAATATTTGTTTTTATATACCTTGATGTAATTCAAAAGCAACCAATTTTTTGCTTTAAAATATTTTTTTAACACATTTATACTAACAGAATGTCAATATTAACACATTGTACGCCGGTTAGGTTTTAGCTATTACAGTGGATAAATATCTGAAAGAAGGTGTATTAAATGCATTTTACATTTTTACAAAATTGCGTATATTTCAAGAAAATGTACTGTATTTCTACTGAATTCTAAAATAAAGGCTAAGTAAAAATGAAACTGCAATAAGTACCTAAATGTGTATGTACAGTAACAGTAGAATCAAGCGATATCACGGGACCGGCGTCCAATGTGTCAAATTAACTTCGTGATAGGTTATGTTGCATATAATATTTGTATTTTTTAGCGGTACTTTCAAAAAATAAACGGCTTTCCACGATGTCGGAATTATTGGATAAAATACCTGATGTGCTTATCGATGAACATGGAATATTTAAATACATCTTGATCAAGCTTGACGACGATGCTAATAATGCCTTTAAAATCGTCATGAGGGGTGGTATGAGATTTAATCGCCATGGTAAGTAGTTATTGCAAAATATTTATCCGTTTTAAATGTTATATTTTTGCACTGAGACAATATTTGCGTTTAAAATATTATTATATGAAATAAATTAACAAAATTTTTTTTTTTGTAAAAAAGTGGAAAAAATTATTAGGTATATGAATATCTTACACAAAAAGTTTATTTGATTGTAAATTATTTAGGAGGTTGATAACATTAGGCTAAATTTCACATATATTCTTGTACAGTCATATTCACATAATTTACTATTTACATTAATAATCATATACATAATCCCTACAGATTTACATATACACTTACTAACAAAAGTGAAGAAACAAATTTAAGAAGCAAAGTTAAGAAACATTTCTGCTTTGTTAGTAAAACCTTCCTAATAACTTCCTAATTGATATTTAATATAATTCCACAAATGTCCAATTGGGTTCAAGTCTGCAGATTGATTTGGCTACTCGATTACATCCATATTTTGCCTCACCAGAAATATTTTAATTAATTATGATGAATGTTTTTGGCCGTTATTGTGTTGAAATCTTCAAAATGGCATCTTCTGGTTAGCAAATGGCAACATATGATTCATTAAAATGTCTCAGTACACAAATCTACTCATAGCTTCTTCTATCAGTATTAATAGACCAGGATCATCATGTGAAAAACACCCTCGCAATATCACATTAACACTACCGAATTTCACTGTTGGCTTTAGGTATTAATGTTAAATCTCTTTCAAAAATCAAAGAAATTCAATTTCTTTTTATCGCTCCACAGAATTTTTGATCATTCAATATAGTAGCCCAATTAATGTGTTCTTCGGTAAAGTTAAGCTAAGCCTTCTGATTCTTTTTTAAAACTAATGGTTTCTTACATACTTTAAATGAAGAAAGATTGTTTCCGTTTAAACGACGACTAATCGTCCTATTATTAATATTTTCAAGAGTTAATCAATTTTTAATTTCTGAAGTAATGTAAAATGGGTTGCATTTCAAGCCTTACAATTCGATGATCTAGTTTGTTGTTAGTCCTATATCATTTTAACAGTTCCATATTGTTTATATCGTTTTATAATCTTCGTAATAGCACGATTCGTATAAACTGCTTTTGCAATGTTGATTTTCCTCTAATCATTTTTAACACTGGAATTACTAATCCAGTCAAAATGACTGATTTCGGAATTTTCCTTTTCGCAATTATTTAAAACATATACCTGAATTTCAAAAAATTAGCATTGTCTCATATCGAGATAGAACTGTAATTAATATATTTACTTATCATTATCGTGTCATTAACACGGAGAGTGCAAATCCTTCGGGTCACCGACTTAGTTGAAACTTTGCAGGTTTGTAGATTTCGATTTTTCAAGAATATGTATCATTATAGGGGTAAGTGCTCAATAATTTTTTAGATATTTATGATTAAAGTTTTATTACTTCCGTAACCACAAATTTATTTCCAATGGTTTTCAAATGGCGTTGGGGCCCAATAGCGACACCCAAAAATTCCTATAATGCAGGTCCGGGGTTCGATTCCCCGTCTCTATAGTTGATTTTTTTCTTCAATCTATTTTTTATTTTTTATTCATTTTTCACCTATGAAAACACTGTAAATAAACAATTGTAAATCAAATTTATTAATAAAAAAATTTATTTTTTACGATTTCTTATGCTACTATATATTTGTTATAAAATAATAATACAATGCAACGAAAACAGTTTTTTATAAAAGAGATTTTAGAAGATTTGTATGATATAACAAAAGCGGTCGAGGACTTTCGAAAATATTTTGTAACAAATATATACTAGCATAAGAAATTGTAAAAAATAAATTCTTTTATTCAGAAATTTGATTTACAATGTTTTCATAGGCGAAAAATTAATACAAAATAAAAAATTAATTGAAGAAAAAAATTCATCTAGAAACGGGAGGGAATCGAACCCCAGATTTGCACCTTAGGAATTTTCGGGTATCACTGTTAGAACACAACATCAATTGGAAACCATTGGAAATAAATTTGTAATTAAAGAAGTAATAAAACTTTAAAACTTTAATCGTAAATATCTCAAAAATTGTTGAGTAGTTGTCCCTATAATGATATATATATATTGTTGAACTGCATGATGAAATCTACAAACCTGCAAAGTGTCAACTAAATCAGTGATCCGAAGGACTTGCACTCTCCTTGTAAGATTACTCCTTGTAAGATAATAGTAATTATCTATGTCCGCTATGTTTAGATACTCATTAAAAACCGGTAATTCTAGTATTAAACATTTTAATTATTAATTGCTTTTCCTTTTCACTCGAGTAGCATTTCCTCGCCATATTTAATGAATTTTATGTTACGAAGCACACTCGTCGATGTCAAAGAGGACATTAACCCTTTCGGTACGGAGGCTCTGGCCGCGGTTATACATTCGTGGTACGAGGAAGTTTTCCACAAGAGTGGTGGCACTGGAAGCTACGAAAACGGGTTTTGCGGTATTCATAGAAATCTCGAGCGTGATTGACACCAAACTTTTCATTCGGACCGCGACAGTCATTGGTGACGTTTCGTGGATGCCGCCAGTAGGCGGCGGTAGTACCTAGAGAACGTTTCGTAGATGCCGCCAATAGGCGGCGGTAGTACCCAGAAAATGTTTCATGGCCGCCACCATTGGGCGGCAGTAGTACCAAGAGGGTTAACCTTTCTCGAAAATTTTTGTGTGCATTCTACACACGTACAATTTTGTTGACATTAACTGAAGAATTCTTCACGTTTCTTAACTTCTGTCACGCAATTTTTGTTTTCTTTCTTTCACACAGTATTCTTAATTGACTTATATGTTACCTCTTCGTGCTATTTTTATTTTTAATCCATATACTTCGGAAGATAATTAATATACAAAAATTTGCGAGTAATTACTTTGTTTTTCAACTCTTGTCGGTAAGTGTATATGCACGTGTCTGTACATGTACAATAAAATCCACGAATTAGGCATTGGTTATTATAAAACATGCCATTGGATTAACTTATTCTACCAAGGTACAATGGGTTCTTTATCATTTGACCAATTACATAGAACATTTATTTCACGATGAATAAAAGACAAGCCCCACAATACGAGACATTTGCTGTTTAAAAAAAATAGATTTCAGATATTCGATTTCCCGTCGATTAATTCTTATGATTGATTCTATCGAGTGCATAGGTGAATAGATTTTACGTGTTTTTTAACCACTCGCGGTGCAAAGAAATTCACGGTTGCGCGTGCCAGAACAGTCGAGTGCAAATCACTTTGGGACACGTTCAGGCAACGTTGGGAGGGGGGTCCAGAAGAGAATATAAAGACGCATCAACTGATGACGAAGTGCAAGCAGAAAGTGTGCCTCGGTAAAGAATTTCATTAACAATTGACGTGCCATGCACGTCATTTTTCTTTCCGCAACAATCGCTTGACAACGTGTGTGACACGTCGCTGGTGTTCCGGTAACAGAAGCATTTCGACGTGCGTGGCACGTGTTTCCACCGCAAGTGGTTAATAATCGCGTTATTTCGTAATTTCTCCGTTTGCGCATAATCAAAAGGGCAGTACGATTTTTATTTGTAAGAATAACGCGGGTAGGAACTGCACAAATCGTAGTGTACTCTCAATCGCGAAAATCGTCTCTGATTTTACCAAAGCTACGGCGGGGCATCCTCGGCGATCGGAAAATATTACACCCCATTCGTCACGTGTCATTGATATCACGCAGGTGTAAAGCTATTACGAATACCCCTGCCGCGAAATACACGTTGCCAGTGAAAGAGGACAAAACGATACGTAAATCTAGAAATTTAATAACGAGTCGCGATGTCCGCAAGACACGATCCGTCAAAACTTACATCGATCCTCGCGCCGATCTATACATCGAGATGCGATTCACCGAGACGAACGTGGACACACACCGTGGCCAATTATTACCCACCGTCTCATCTTTTCGCGTTACTAAGAAGCTCTTCTAAAACAACACCAAGCTCTCTGTATATTGAAGCCTAATTTACAGTTTCTGTGATTCGAAGTTTTCACGTTCTTTGCCGCGCTGTTGTTCCTCGTGGATGATCGCGAGGATGCATCGGTGGTTTGCACCTGCCCTCAGGTACTGTCGCTCTCCTCGTAGTGCTCTATCAGCTCCATGTCCGCGTCCCTGGACTCCTTCAGTTTCTCCTTGATCGGTTCCAACTTGCTTCCCTTGTACTTGTGCCCGTTGTCTTCGTGCCTCTCGAGATTCTCCGCCACCTCTTCGCTCGTTTTCCCGCAGATTTTTGCTTCCCTGATCGGTGACGGGAAGCCTACTAGTTCTGGGTCCGTGTTGCTGTGCATTAACGTGAACGGCAGCTTTAGGGACACTTCTCCTCCCATGGTCGAGATTAGCAGCTTCACCTGCGAATAAAAGCAAAGGAAAAGATAAACGAAAGCGAACGAATTTGACTTAAAATTTCTACACCCTCACGAGTCGTGAGCAGAGGAAGACACTGTAGAGACATGGGTGGTGGTTAACACTAGGTTTACGGACGCTATCTGTATACCTATTTCTATGGACACCTGTCAAATTGACAGATAAAGGAAACCACGTGCCTTTTTTTTAATGATTACTTTAATTTAAAAAATTAACAATCTTAATATAAGTTAACTAAATCTGTTACCATCGTATAATTGGAGCAACCCTTTCGTCAAATTGACGGGTTCCGTAAATCTAGCGTTAAATAATACTATTTATTAGTAATAAAATAATAATACAATATGTGGCTACGATTAAGCCTACGAACATGGATATATCAACTACAACTGCAACTTAACAACACAATTACAACTCGACTGTTTCAACTAAAATACAACTCTCTTCCAATCACTCTGGCCAAGAACTCTTCCTAAAAACTCTACTCTGCGTTGCATGAGAGAAGTCATCTGAGAAACTTGTAGGACCGAATCCCCACCAGCCTAACCACTCTAACATCATGGCAGAAGTAAAGTAAAAAGCTTCCCTTATTGATAGAACTGATCCCTTCCTATTAGTCCGGTCATAGAACACCATGTGACAAAGAAAGCAAACAAAGCAACGAGACAAAGTGAGACAGACGCAAGAAATAGATGCAAGAGCGTAGACTCATCCCAAAGCGTAGTAGTGCTTCCAATTCATTGCAAGTTAACTCTGAGATAACGTTTCTTTCGCGGATATCTTACGCCTATGTTAACGAATCACGTTACCGAACTTGGAGATAGTAGTTTTAGGAGTGTCATAGAAGAGTGGGTATAACTGACAAGAGTACAGGCGAAGCAATACCCCTCTTGCCCCGCAAACGAACGAGATGACTTCTCTCATGCAACGCATAGTACACAAGCACTCTTCCTAAAGACTATCCCAGAACTGTCCGCTTCATGCATCCTTATTTAACCCATTGCAATTGATTTCCGAGGCTATAAGACCGGTTGCAGACCGTGTGTGCAATCATAACAACGAGCCCTTATCTGTTATTCTGAGTAGTCGCTCCTGGGGACCGTGTTCGAAAAGAATCGCCGTCTCGAATGGGTTAAAACCATATCCTCTATCCTCTTTCATACCTATGCTCTCTTTCACAATCACGCTTTTCCTTACAGCCTTGCCCTCAGCGGGTCACGTAGCCCAAACACTTGGACGTATTCCTAGAGACACTCTTCACTTGCAGCCGATACATCCATGAACATCCCGATCCTAGTGCACGGTCATTCATCCTTTCGCACGCATCCCAGATAATACTCTGGAGCCAAACCCAAGCTTATTATCCTGCGATACCACAATACGTTGTATCTTGAGAAGGATCTTGGTGTGAAAAATTTTCGTTCGCAAGGACGATTTACCTTGACGTAATACGAAACGTATATCGCGAAAACGTTCCTATCCTCTGGACCGTTTCCAGGGCAGATAACGGTGGAGGCCAACGTTGCCCCCGCCTTCGAGTAGCTATCCTCCAGAGCGATCCAATTTTTGGTCGAGCCTTTGATAGGTCTAAGCGTATAGCTTTTCTTCAGCGACGCGCCAGGTCCTAGCGGACAGCCTTCCTGCGAGGACAGCAAGGCTACCACGTTCTTGAATTTCCCGTTGCTGAACATACACACGTCCACGTGTTGCACGATGAACACCTGAAACGATCGGAAACCTTCTTTTCTCCTGGGAACGTTCAGAATTTTCTTTATCCTGCGATGTTTATAGGCGAATAACGAATTTTAAGAGCATTTGCCAGTGTCTCTGAGATTAATGCACGGGGTGTGCGTAGTTGGACTCGAATCTTATGACAGAGGAGCAAAGGATCGCGATATCGAGCTTTGAGGGATAATCCGTGCCCCGTTTTATTTCCCTCTTTTTCGTATTATTTCGTATTTTCGCATTTTTCGTGTTCTCGATGTGTTTTAAAATAAACGGGAGTTTAATTAGGCTATTAAAGCAACGGAAAGGCTAGTATTCTCCGGTGGAAGAACAAACGCGATTACAAACGGATTTTACGCCTGGCGTAATTCCAGGCATGGCTACCGTGTGTCAGTCTGTTTGTCACAAACTGCCGGCACAAAGTTAACGCAGTGCTGTTCGAAACTCGTACACTAGTCACCACGGCATCGAACCGGACCGTTCTCGTTTTCAAACAATGTTCGCCACACTCGCTAATGAACTATGGTGCAAAGGTAATTGACACGGACGCGGTAGCTTTATGCGCTAGGAGTCTGCTCCTGTTGTCCCAGGAAATTCGCTAGCCACCCTTCGTTTCATCTACCTTCCAACTCTTGTACGTCTTACACGAGGAACAGCTCCCCGTTCTTTCAAATTACGTTTCTTGCCTTTTCCCTAGCTTCCCTTTACATGTAATTCCGAAAATCGCGCGAACAACCGTGGCCGTAAATTTATTCATCCCCGCGAAAAGGGGAAAATGATGAACTCGCAGCGGTTTTCGCACAAAACCGACAGCGTTTATTTTATTATGAACCCCTGTGAATTTTTTCCCTCGGTTTCTCGTCATGGTTCTCCTTCCCGAATGCGTTCCCCGACTAGATTGCATCTGCATGCTCCGCGAATGAAATTTTGCCCGGATTAATATTCGCCGAGCTGTAAATACTGCCGTGCGCGATCTATAAATGTTTCACGTGGTTCAGTTTAAGCACGAGTAATGAAAGCGATTATGCCGCTTTCTATGAGCTTTCGAATTATGCGCAGAATTTCCCGTTGCCTAAAAAGTTCCTGCTTCAACGTCGATTCCGGCATTTTTAGCGAATCCGATTCCGAATATTTGCGAAAATTTCTGCGTACGGGGTGAATTTGCATCGCGAGGCAGTGGGCGCAGTAGAACGGGTGGGTATATGGTCAGACGCGGCAGATCTGTGCATCCCATTTCCAACTTTCGTTTCGCGGTAAACGTAAATTAATTATCATGGTAAAATTTTCACGCTACATAAGGAAAGTACCAAAGACTAAGGGTTATGCACCAATTACCGCGCTCATTTGAACAACCCTGAATTAAAAATTTGCGAATTCTATTTTTTACTCGGCATAGATAAGTAAATATTTATAATTCGAGTTCCAGGCGATTATTTTCCTGCTGTGTAAATTGTGGTAATTTTTTGATTTGACAATTTAGGGGAAAGGGATCAGTATCTTCGATTAAAAATAGTTGGGTATTATGTAACTCGTGGGATACCGTTTCTTCATCCCTTCCCCAAGGCAAAGTATACAAGATGCAAACGATCAACGTTTTTCATTTTTCTTTTATTGTTATTATTTTTTTTTCTTTTTGATAATTGGATTGAATGAATTAAAAAGTTAATTATCATGATAAAATTTTCACGCTACATCGGGAGAGTACAAAAGACTAAGGGTTATACATCGATTACCGCGCTTATTTGAACAACCCTGAATTAAAAATTTGCGAATTCTATTTTTTACTCGGCATAGATAAGTAAATATTTATAATTCGAGTTGCAGGCGATTATTTTTCTGCTGTGTAAATTGTTGTAATTTTTTGATTTGACAATTTAGGGGAAAGGGATCATTATCTTTCATTAAATAGTCAGGTATTATATAATTCGTGGGATACTGTTTCTTCATCCCTTCCCCAAGGCAAAGTACACAAGATGCAGATGTTTTTCAACGTTTTTCAACGTTTTTCTTTTATTATTATTATTTTTTTTTTTTTTTTGATAATTGGATTGAATGAATTAACGAGTAATGAATTAATAATCGTCCACCCGTTGTAGCAATTCCATCCTACGTGAAATTTTAATCATCGACAAGTTTACCGTGACCTTATTAAAAGCAGCTAGTTTCACGAGAATGAATGGCACACGTGGGATGGGAGCGATTAATTTATTAAACACGACCGCGGATTAAGCCGTTTGTAATTGTAATTTAACCAGTTATCGAAACGAAGGAACGTTACTCGCGGCATGGATAAATCGCAAATTGCTTCTCGAATCAGGCATTCAGCCTCTCGTTAGCATTTCAATGTTCCCGGTTGCGATGCCGGAGTTCATATATTATACAGTCAGTTTACGAGAAGGATGTGCCTTACCTTGATCCTCCTCACAGTTTTGCTGCTGTTGTTATTGACGTTCACGTGTACCGTGATTGAATCCCCATGAGCGTAGATCGCCCTGTCTAATCGAGCTTCTAAACCCACGCGACCGTCGCTCAATAAGAACGGTTTCTCCACTGCAGCGTGCGGCGCCGCGTTCTCTGTAACAGGCAGTCAAACGGGGGTCCCAAACCGTCGCGATCCACCCTTATGCAGCGACTAACCGTGCACGATCGTCAAAGCCAACCGAAGACACTTTGAGATCCTTTAAGCTATCCGGCCAGAAATAAAAAGCTTACCTTCGTCCTCTGTGACCTCGTTCTCCATGAAAGAGACTCTGGTCTTGCAGGTCTGGCTTCTGGAGCCAGCGGAAGGACTCGTTGACACTGGCACGCTGTACATGCTGGTGGCTGGCAACGGTGGCTTAGTCGTTCGCTGGATTACACGGATACCCATCCTGACCATCGTTTTTCGATGAAGCTTCTCGTCCGAGCGATCCGCTAAATTTCACGTCCACAGATTCGATCAGTGCTCATTTAGGCTACACTTTCACGAGGAATAGTCGGTGGTACGATCTTTTAGCGTGATAGAGATCAGAAGCAGTCGTTCAGTCGCGTTGAAGACTTGGTTCAACTAGAATTTTCGTTTATCGCGAGAGGGGATTATAATTAACACTTTGACTACTGTGGACGCCTATGGGCGCTTAGAAATTTTGCGTTTGTGACACGAAGGGCGCCTATAGGCGCTTGGAAATTTTGCGTTTGTGACACGGAGGACGTCCATAAGCGCTTAGAAATTTTGCGCCTGTGACACGGAGGGCGTCTATAAGCGTTTGGAAGTTTTGCGTTTGTGACACGGAGGACGTCCATAAGCGCTTAGAAATTTTGCGTCTGTGACACGGAGGGCGTCTATAAGCGTTTGGAAATTTTGCGTTTGTGACACGCGGGGTGTCCATAAGCACTTAGAAATTTTGCGTTTGTGACACGGAGGGCTCCCATAAGCGTTTGGAAATTTTGCATTTGTGACACGAAGGGCTCCTATAGACGCTTAGAAGTTTAGCGTTTGTGACACGAAGGGCGCCTATAGGCGCTTGGAAATTTTACGTTTGTGACAAGTAGTGTGCCTATAGCCGCTTAGAAATTTTGCGTTTGTGACACGGAGGGCTCCCATAAGCGTTTGGAAATTTTGCGTTTGTGACAAGTAGAGTGCCTATAGCCTCTTAGAAATTTTGCGTTTGTGACACGAAGGGCGTCTATAGACGATTAGAAATTTTGCGTTTGTGACACGGAGGGCGCCTAAGGGCGGTTAGAAATTTTGTTTGTGACACGAAGGGCGTCTATAGACGATTAGAAATTTTGCGTTTGTGACACGGAGGGCACCTAAGGGTGGATAGAAATTTTGTTTGTGACACGAAGGGCGCCTATAGGCGCTTGGAAATTTTGCGTTTGTGACACGGACGGCTCCCATAAGCGTTTGGAAATTTTGCATTTGTGACACGAAGGGCTCCTATAGACGCTTAGAAGTTTTGCGTTTGTGACACGAAGGGCGCCTATAGGCGCTTGGAAATTTTGCGTTTGTGACACGGAGGGCACCTAAGGGTGGTTAAAAATTTTGTTTGTGACACGAAGAGCGCCTATAGGTGTTTGGAAATCTTGCGTTTGTGACACAGAGGGCGCTTGTTTCCACAAAAATGACGCACATCTTAACTGAATTTCTGCCGTATGGTACGGCCGCTGCGTATCAAAATCTGCCGTAGTCAAGGGGTTAATGCAGGATATTTTTATGGTTCGAAAGTGAGCGAATGGGAACACTTGGGTCTTCTTTCTAGACGAGGGATAATAATCAGGCCTCGGGTTCAGGTCGAACTTTCAGGGTAACATACAGAGTGCATGTGGAAGGACAAGTTGAGCGTATGGACGAGACTGTTAAGTTTGAATAAGGGTGCAAGGGCAATCTTGAAGACAGTCTTGTAGAGACAGTTCTGATAGAGAGTCTTTAGCAAAGTTTGTGAGAGAGTCTTAGGCGGATTTTGGTATGCATAGTCGGAGTACGTGAGTACTTCGAAGTCGGTTGCGTAATCATAAATCAATTATTAGCCTAATCTTTTAGTTCATGCCTTACTCCTAGTCTCATTTAGCTCGTAATAAATATAAATATATATATATTAGAATAAAATAACATCTCTTATTCTTTATATTTGCCAAAAGCAGTATCCGTACGTGAATTGCAATTTTATTTTTCTTTACTAAAATTCGAGGAATTAATAATTTATAAATAAATCGTTCGGTATCGATATAATGGTAGAACGGAGCGAAATAAAATTGATGAGATGTGAACATGCGGGTAGTAATTTCTTGAATATACGTAGAGGGATAATACGTCACGTGGACATAATGTGTTCCTCGAGAAACTTTATGGCGTCCCCAAGCAATTACCATAAGAGGAAATGAAATACGAAATCAAGGATTTGTCTCTAGGTTTCCGGGTCAATTTCGATAATCGATGTCGAAATTTGCTCGATAAACAGAGAGAGATCATTTCTCCCTCTCTTTGTATATATTTCTCTATTCCATGAACTCGAATGTTTTCGTTCGATAAATTCCTCGTCGTGACGCAAAACGATTGCTTCGCGCGTTTAAAAGGTCTTCCACTCGTGCCGGGTTTTATTTTTAAAACGGACGAATTTAAATGTAAAACGAGCGTGATCCATCGTTCGTTCCGATCTGTTTGGCCATGAAGATTCAGTGTTTGCACGATCGTATCGCGATTTTCTGCTCCGTCGACTAAACGGGCATCTGCTTGATTTACTCACCGACATATGCTCTGACGTCGTAGCTGGTGCCTATCGGGGCGCCATTGTACTCCTTCGCAGGCACCAATTGCACCGACGGGGGTGCCAACGGTGTAATTTCCATGGTAAACGCGTGAGCGTTTGGCCCCAGTCTCTTCACAAGTGCCTCCTGAAACAGAAGATGGAACTGTCCTCACCTTCTTGTCGTGTCTCGGACGAATTGGATCTCCCTAATGCGCGATATGTCTCGATCGTTCTATTCAAGGACAATGGGGGGTGGCGAAAATGAGGGGAGGATGAAATTATTCCAACTCAGCTCGATAACCCAGGTCGACGGGAAGACCAAGAAACGCTGACATTTTGCTGGGAGATAATTAGAATCTCTGAGTTTAATATGTCACGAAGGAAATAAGGAGTTTAGGGCTAAAAGGACCATCGACGACGGTGACCTTTCAGAATATTGTCTCTTAACTTCCGAAGAAGCATTAGCGCCAATTGGAGCGCATAATTGAAATAAATAAAATCGTGGCGAGGAAATATTGATATCGCGTGAATCATGGAACGACAGATGGTCGCAATCGGATAAGCCAATTTCCGGGGGCGGGGGGGGCTCGAAATCGCCACATAGGCTTAATAATTTTACACCTATCGCTCTGGCTAGGGATTCAGAGATCGTTTCGTTCTCATTTCGCGAGATTCGATGGCTTACGCGATGCGATATGGTTGATCGCTTCATTACGCGATGACGGATTAATCCCTAGAAATTTGTGCTGCTTCGTCGATCGATAAAGGATTTACGGACGAATTACCGACGTACATTGCGCCGATCTTCGCCGGATATTAATTAACAGACATTTCGAGATTCGACGTCGATATGCTGCGCGCTTCCGGATCGAATCGCGTAATTTCTCGCATAAGAAACGATCATCCCACGAACGTTCAATTTCCTCGTGTCACGAGAATTTTTCGCGTTATTCGGGCTTACTCGACCCGGAAGATCGTCACCGATGTCTTGCTTCGGTCGATTCGATTGAACGAATGTAACAAGATGACGATGCAGCACAAAATCCGACGTTTCGCTGAAGCTTGTCGCGGACCAGACGCATTTTATGAATAATTCTACGCGAAACTTTAACAAGGGCAAAGGTTGCTCGATGCTTATCACGAGTAAGTGTCAAACACCGTTGCGTAATCGTTTCCGCGTACAAAATTGTTCCGCCGCGTAAAAGTTTAAGCGGGTTGCGCTCGCTGGCCGCCAGCGGCGCTAGTTTGTTAGCCAGAGAATGGTTAGTTACGGCCGCGACATTGCTCCGATGACACGTTCGTTCAGCGCACAAAGACAAAGACCAGCAAGCTGCGAAATCGACATCCCCAACGGAGGGGGGATGAACTCTCGTCTCTCTTAAGAATATCAATTACCTCCACCCACGTGAAATTTCTTCCCGAGGCTTTGTTCTTCCTCGTTTCCAGCCACTTCTCGAGACCTCTCGCGCTGTCGATGTTCTTCAAAGGAATATCCAGCTGCGCTCCTCATAGCTGCGTCCTAACTCGCGTACACTTTCCAATCAGATTTCTCCTCGATTTCTCCCCGCTCTCTTTTTTTCTTCCCTCTCCTCTCTCTCCCGTCGTTTTTCCTCGGCGAGTTCTTTTTCTTTTTTACCTATTCGCCGGGAAGCTGCCTCGCGTTCCGTATGCATGATTGATGAGCTACGTAGCGCCTTTCAGCTCAATCGCATTGCCCCCTTTGAAACCCGTCGGCCGTGGAATCGCAACATTTGTAGTCCACCGTGAAACCGCATTATCTCGGCATTTTGAGTGCATCCGTGTTGCGCCTCATTCACCGAGAGTAATCTTCCGACGATAATATCGTCGCACTACCCCTTGCAAACGCGATCAAGATTTTCACTACACCCACTTACGTTCGAACTGACGTTTCCGAGATCTCGTATCCGGATCTCGGATCGCGCGATGTTATCAGTGTCTTTGTTGCGCTATATTCATCGCGCTACATCGAGAAGCCTTCGCGGCTCGGCACGTATTTTTTCGTTTATGGCACACGTACCTTCCCGTTTGTATCATCACGGAGGGTGTCGCGGAGTTCTCATTCGAGGCAAGAGGGTGTACGGTCGTATCCAGTTCCCAAACTGCGCCATAATTTTTCGTTTCACTCCCAGGGCTCTCTCCCAGCCAACGACTGCGCCATTTTTTCCACGTCCTTCGTCTTCATTTCGCAAAAGTGAGCACACGGTACATCTTCCATTGCCACCGTCTCGCTTTCTCTTTTATTCGTCTACAGTGATTTTCCGCGGAAACGGATATCCAGAAGACACTTTCGATCCCATTAGCCGAAGAAAGTCGCTAATTTCACGTTGGATCAACCAAGTGTCTCGCGTAATTGGTTACCGAGATGATTAATTCCCGTCCACGTAGAGGGTACCTCGTTAGTCGCGAGGATGTAATTCCTTCTTCACCGAAATTCCGCATTCTCTCGTTATCGATCTTCGCCATTCGCGAATCCCACTTTTCGCCTTCTATTTCGGAAGAAGACGCTATCGACCGACGTCTGTCGAAGTGATCCGCGGAAATTCACCACTATCCGAGTATTAAAAGGTTTACGGGGATTGAAAGGTCCGGTAGAGGTTGACTCGAAACGTTTCCGTGGTTTAACCTGTTGGTTATTTCTGGACCAGTTGGCCAAGGTGGGTTCGCAGCTAGAAGGCCAGGACCTGTTAGCGGAGAAAGTCTCTTTCTCTCTCTGTCTCACTAGGATCTTCGAGCGATCCGAACTCGGCTGATCTCTAATTTCCACGAGTATTTCTCGCGACGAGGTATCGGTTACCCTTTATTCGACTTTCGAGAGGTGATTCGGAAAGTTCTTCGGCCGGAATCAAATTATGATTGATCACCGACCCTAAAAGGGTGTCTAGTCATAATGACTTTCCATTTGTGCTCGTCCCCGATACCGTATCGCTGGTTTTGCCGTCCGAGAAAAAGCCTTTGCCATTGCTGGCGGTAATCGAACGTGTGACGTTTCCAATTTTCCTGGAAAATTCCATCCTCGAGTAATTAATTCCCTAATTGATTTTCTTGCCGAACGAGCGACCAAAGCCTTCCTGAATTTTTCAAGCTCTCCCTCATATTGCTAAGCGTCCTGTCCCCTTTCGCCATCGAATCACCGTTCTCATTGTAACGCTGCTCGCGTTCGATTAAGACGAAAGGAAATAATAAATAAAAGTAGAAAAACGTAGAAATTAACGCGAGATGAATAAATTTCCGTGAAACGGAATAATAATAACAACAATGGCCGAAACCGTGACGAAAAATAGATCTTCGGTCAGACGAATCGAGCGAACCGCAAATTCTATCGGACTTCTGCGAGTTAATTAATGACCTTTATCGTGTCCGCGACCCCGATTATCGTTCATTCACACAGCGAGTATATCGTGGCCTGTCCTCGATGTTGAACATCAATTCGACCGATCCACATTCGTCTCGGCGTTGCCCTCTTCCTTGCCATAAATCGTGATTATTACAGAGTGTAGCAGTAATTTTTTCGCAAGCTTCACGGTGGTAATTTTCGCCCGTCCAGGTGATAATAAACATTTATACACGGCACGTAACACGTAACGTTCGTGGAACTCGAGGGTAGCGAAAATAAAAATCCTCCCCTAAACTGTTACCAGGCGGACGCGCGTTCCCTTAGCCGGAGAAAAATGGCGGATAATTGAAGCGCGTTTGCCGAGTGATTTAAATGTAAACGAGATTCGAGGAATCCGATTCGACCGTTTCCTTTTTCCATACGTCTGAACGAAGATCCCGAGGCGTCCTTCGAGAGAAGAGCGAACGATGATTTTCTCCCCGAACCGGGGATGTTATTCGAGTCCTCCGCGTCTCTTTAGCCGAGGACCAAGAAGGAAAATATTTAGATTGCTACGACAATTACCGCGGTGTATTCTTGGAAAAAGAGCGAGGTTTCGCGCGAGCGAGCAAACCAATAAGCTCGTGGGACAAATTCGCTTCTTAAAGACCTGGTACTTTTCAATTTCGCGTTCTCCGTTCGCCCCCGCCGCGCTGAAAGGCGTCGCGCGACCAGAAGCCTCGCGTGTAAAGCTCGTGTATACCTTCAAAGGATATTTCTCGATAGAAAGAAACCTTTTCAGACGTGTCTCCCTTCTCTGCGCTTCATTTTCGCTGGCTACTCTTCCATAGGACTCCATAAACGGAGAAACCACGTACGAGGTTTCCGGGAGTCACGGACGTCTTCCGGTTCACTTCTCGGAGGTGGTTCGCAGCAAACGGAAGCCTTTGCTAACCAGCGAAACCTGCTTCCCCCACCAATTTGCGTTCGCTCGATGAAAAGTCTACTGTTTCTCCCTTCAGTGTTGTTTCGCCGACCGGTTCCCGGCGTTTTATAGTAGATCGAGCACAATGGCAACTGTTAACTAGAAGTTGCTGCAACTTTTGCTTTGCACGGAGAGCGTTAACGGAGCTTTGCGAAAAACACGCTCGACACCGAGAGCTGTCGGGAAGGAAGTTTCTTGGTCGCAAGTTTGCCTGCTTGCTGTGGCCTTTTCCTCCGATACGTTCCTATTTTCGGGGGATCAGGAACGATCAGAGGTGGAAACGAAGAGTTTCAGCGATCTTTGCATTCCCCGGTACCAGAGTTCTATTTGGACACCCAAGAACTTTCTAATCGTGAAATTTCTAGTCGCTGATAAAAATTCGATCCAACGCGGTGTAAGCAGTCGAATTTTCAAAGTTTCCTCTTGTCCTCGTATAAAATATTTAGTACGTACGTTGTGGTTGAATCGCGGTAGCATCGGGGTAAACGTGGCAAATTGCTATCGATCGTGGTTAAAAGTTTCCAAGAACTTACTCGGTGAATTAATTTAGCGACATTTTTTCTTTCGTGTCCGCTTGTGGAATAAATTCGTTGACCAAGATGTCCTCCGGGAGGCGGCTCGACCATTTGCCAAGGTATATTCTCAACGCTGTGAAGTTTCTCTCGTTTACATCCCTAGCTCAGGATAATTTTATCCGGTCCCCGAAGGCCGAGAATGGAAGCTCAGCAAATATGCATGTGTTTGCTGCACTTAATTGTGTATTCTAGATCCCTTCTTGCTTTCCTTCACCTGTACCTTTCTGGTCTCGCGCTAACCTTTCGGTCCG